CACCGCAGCCTCGACCTGCTGGGCTCCGGCGATCCTTCTGCCTCAGCCTTCCAAGTAGCCGGAATTACAGGCATGCACTACCACGCCCAGCTGATTTTGTGATTTTATTGTAGAGATGAGGTCTTGCTGCCCAGGTGGGTCTCGAACCCGCAGGCTCAGGTAATCCACTCACCTCAGCCTCCCAAAGGTGCGGGATTACAGGCTGAGCCACCAAGCCTGGCTTGATCTTTTTTTAAACCCTTATAACTATCTTCCTTAATTTTGTCCTTTTTTAACTTCAATTTTTTTATCCTTTCTTGTTTATTAGAAATATTTAGAGCCATGATTTTGTTCTCTGATATACTCCTTCGGCTAGTCCCACAGGCTCTGATATGCAGTATTTTTGTGGTCATTATTTTCTAGATAAGCTGCAGTTTTAGTTTTGCTTTTCTCTTTGACCAACGATTGTTCCAGAAATTTTTTTTTTTTTTTTTTGAGTTGGAGTCTTACTCTGTCGACCAGACTGGAGTGCAGTGGCCGCTCATGGCCACTGCAACCTCGACCTGCTGGGCTCCGGGGATACTTCCGCCTCAGCCTTCCAAGTAGCTGGAACTACAGGCGCATGCTACCACGCCTGGCTAATTTTTTGATTTATTGTAGAGATGAGGTCTCGCCAAGTTGCCCAGGCGGGTCTCGAACCTGCGGGCTCAGGCAATCCACTCACCTTAGCCTCCCAAAGGCAAGGATTACAGGCTGAGTCACCGAGCCTGGCTTGTTCCAGAAATTTAAAAGTTTTGAGATGGTAGAGTTTTGCGTTTCAGTTTTCAGATTTTGTTAGTAATTTTTAGTTATATTGCGTTATAAATAATTATCTATGTTGTTTATAATTTTTAAAAAATGTTTGAGGTTTTCTTTATAGTTTGATATATAAACACCATGAACCTTTGTAAACAAGGTGTTACTTTTCAAAGTATAAATTGTTGATTGACTTTAAATGAGTAAATGTTATCAATTTGAATATATAAAATAAATTAAAATGTATAAAAAAATTATATATATGCATGTGTGTAAGTGTATGTGTGTGTTTATACTTTGGGTACTAGTGTAGTTTATATTTTAAAAACGAGATGTAGTGCTAAAAAAAACATATGAAAACCACCATGGCATATGACCTCACTATGGCATATTTCTAGAATGTGTAGAATAGGAACATAAATTTGTGTAGCCCTTAGAATATCCCGAGTCACGATGAGATCAAAGGGTATATAAAGTATTTTTTTCTTTCACTTTTCATTTATTTTCTTTCTTCTACACAATATGCTAATTAAAAAATCTAGATTACACAGAACCAGGTCGGGTACCATGCCAGTCTGTTATCAACAAGTGAGAGCACATTAAACAGTTTTTAATTGGTCTTAGAAAAAGCAAAGGTGAAATGAAAATTTAATTCTCCTGGACCTTTGTTCAAAATGTATTTTTCCATCTCTACCATAAGGGGTGAATTTTAATTAGCTTGATTCTTACCGTTTGGCCATGCATTTGTAATCTGTGTTCACACTTTGGGAAAAAAGAATTTGATGAAAAGAATTGGATAATAATGGAAATCTTGTCTGAGCAGAACAAATTGGAATATCCAATATGCTAGGGAAGGAGAAGCAGCGAGACTGGTGACTGAAAGAAATGCTTTTGCCCAAAATGTCACTGTTCCACCTGGCACAGTCTTATCTTGCACAAGGAGAGAGCACCAAGGCATGGGAAGGTGCTCTTGTGCCAGACGAACCTCTGCATCTTTCAAAGGAATGCCACTCAATTCCCTGATCCTCAATTTTCTCATCTGTAGAATGGAGGTAGTAATAGCCACATTGCAGTTTCGTGAGGGTTGAACGAAATGAGTTATGTGAAAGTATCTGACACATAGTAGGAGTTCAGAGAGTGATTAAGAGGAGAATTTCCAAGGAAAGATCTATGGCTAGGCTAAAGGTACTTGTAAGGTTCCTAGCTTGTCTACAGCTTTGAGAAGAAAGAGATGGGCAAAGATTTGTGTGTGTGTGTGTATTGGGGCAGGGGAGTCTGTGGGTATGTCCTGGACTTCCTCTCAGTCACTCTAAGATAGTAAACAACAAAAGTCTTTGGCAAAGGAGGACATTCAGCATTCTAATCTGTAGCTAGAAAAGCCCCAGGAGTCCATGTTCACCTCTTTAAGGGTTAATCCCCTGAGCTCCCTAGGTTACACTTGGGACAGGTGTAAGGTCAACTAGTTGTTAAGTACAGTGTACCAAAGAGGAAATAAGTTAGGAGTGTCTCTGCCAGCAAGTAGGTCAAGTAGCACACATGGGTGTGGGGAGGCCTCGAGCAAAACATATTATTCAGGGTGCCATGGAGGGCTGTCAGGGAGGTAGAATATACAGGTTTTGGCTTTGGAGCTTGTAAGTTAATTAGGAGAACAAAGAGAGAGAAAGCACAAAGACCACAGATGAAGCTAATGTTAAATATCCTGTGGCCATACAGCATTTTATTTTTTCTCAGATAGTGTCAGAATCAAATAGTCCCTGAAGTCATCAGACTATGGGTCCAGGGTTCTGTTCATAAAATAGTCTCCATATTTCTATGTGCATAATTCAGGATGAATTCCTGAATACTTGCTGTACTCCCAGAATTAGGAGTATGGACTCAGAGGTCAGACTGATATGGATTAATTTCCAAGTCTCTTGCTCACTTAAAAAAAATTTTTAATTGTATATATTTACTGTGTAAAACATGATGTTTTGATATACATGCACTCAGTGGAACGATTAATACAGTCAAGCAAATCAGCATGCCCAACCTGCAATACCTAGGACAGCCTCCCTCCCCCTCTCTCTCACCCTCCATTCCCTCTCATTTTGGAACTGGAAGATGAAAATGGGTCCATTAGAGGGGGACTGTCGTGATCCTTCATGCTGTTTTTAAGCGGCGGCCCTGTGGGGACGGCCAGCCTTCTCTTGCTGTCCCCTGCCGCGTTCTAGGCACAGCTCTCTCCTGAGGACGCGCTTCCCCACCCGGGCATCCTGGCGGAGTGTGCCACCCTCATTCAGACCCTCGTCCCCGGTTAAAGGCGTATAGCCTTGACCGCAAAAGCGGTGAAACTGAGAGCGAGGGAGACCTCGCTCTAAGTCCCTCGAAGGGACGGCGAGGCAGGGCCCTGCAAACCTGCAGAGGCTTTGGGCAGAGGCAGGGCTTTTGTGGAGATCCTCTCAGCCTGCTTGGGGTCGACTTCCTGCAAACACCCGGAGTGCCCTAAAGGCAGGGCGCCAAGGAGGTGGCGGCGGAGGCGACAGAGAGCGCCCGGGTCAAGCCACCCCCAAACTGGCCGTGACCCAACCCTGCAGGGGCCCCAGGGCGGCGGTGGAAGTGGGGGCGTGGCCGGCGAGGGAACGTGTATCTTTCTCCCAGTTAGGGAGGGCGTTCCAAACACCCCGGGGCTGTAACCTCCCTGGGTTGCTCTTGGGGGTCACGGGGGAGGCGGACCAGCCGTCTTCCTGTGCTGCGGAGCCAAGATCTGATTTCAGGGACCATGCTGGTGGCATGAGTCACACCCCGCCGCCGCCGGACTGGGTCTGCAGCCGGGCGGCTGGGCACCGCCGGCCGTGGTTAATGATTGATCGCTGATCCGCCCGCCCCCCGGGAGGGTGCTTCTGCAGGGCGGGCCCGAGCCGGCAAGTGCCAGGCTGCTGGAAAGGGGGCGAGGGCGGCAAGGCGGGCAG